TCTTTCAATCATATAAAGCGAAATGATTTTTTCTTTTTTTCCTAGAAAAAGAAAAAAAATATACTTCTATTATTGCTATTATCTATATATAAAATATCTATTATTTATATTTTAAATTATACTAATGCAAAAATATTGAAATTTATCTTATTTTGTTTTTCTGTTATTCATCTTTTTGTAAAGTATAAATTATTAAAAAATAAAATAAATTTAAAATAGTAAAATTAAAAAGAAATTTAAATTACGCATCACACAACTCTATAAATTACACAATTCAAAAAAATAACTGATTTGACAAGTTATATTATAATAAACTCCCGCCAAAATTATGGCGCTGTTGCATTATAGCGATAAAGATATAATATAACGGAAAGGAATTGATAAAACTCTCATAGTCATAGTGGAGTTATAAAATACAATAAAATATTTGGCAGTTCTGTTTGTATCAAATTTCATGACATTTTGGTGACAAGACTTGTATCATTATATTTATTTCGAAAATATAGCAAATATTGATAAAGAAGTTTATATATATAATGTATATAATATACAAATAATTTACAAAATTTTTGTAATTATTTTTTTCAATTAAACTCGATTGATCACAATTTTATTTATATATATCATCTATATAACATTAAGAAAAATATTTAATATTTAAATAAAAGTTTATTCATTTATTTATTTAATAGACTGTAAATAATGAAAAGTCGAAAAAGTGATACTTAATGAAATTTGGAAAAAAAATGACAGATATTATTTTAGAAATTAAAAAGTTTATTTCTGAAAGTTGGACAAATATTTTTATGGAAGTATGTAATGCAGTAGTTTATATAGATCATTGTGCAATTGAATGTTTACATTGGTATACAGCTGGTAAAAGCTATTTAACATTGAAAGATGCTGGTGCAGCTGCAGTTTATGAAATTGGCATGTATCATTTTCGAGTAAGTATATATATTTTATTCACATCTATATAAATTTAAAAATAAAAAAAACATTATTAAATGTGCATTCTTTTTATTTTTATTTTTAGTATGTTGAAGTAAAAGATGTTAAGAAAGCTGTTATTATATCAACATCTAGTGATCCAGCATTTTATCAGCGTACAATTAAAATGATTCTAACAAAGAATATATTCCAAAACTGTATTGTTTATTGTAGTGTACCTTGTTGCACTGTCAACCATTTAGGAACATCATTTATTGAAGAAAAATTAAACTATAATAAATTAAAAAAGGATATTAAAATTTGGATGACTTCAAGAAATCTTTCTCAAGTTAGTTAATTAATCATTTATTTTTGTTTATTTTTTTCAAATCTATAAATTTTTTCCAAATTTATATTTAGTTAAAACTAAATAAATTACTTTATAGGAACCTGTTGTCAATATTATTTATGCACCAATTTTTATTGCCTTTTTAAATAAAAATTTGTTTGTAACACCTCCTTTTGGAGATTTGATGCCACCTTTGGACACAAATATTTTAAAAGATATGGTTATTAAATTGAATTTTTTAGCATATTCATTTTATAATCTATTTAATAATATAAAAGCTAGATTAGATATTTATTCAGTTGGAAAATTTAGTGATCATCTTGCAGAAAATTTGGAAGATTATATATCTAGTATTAATCATCAAAATGTGAGTATAAGAAGTAATAAGATAATAAAAATATGAATTTTAATATAATAATGAAAAATAATTTTTTAATTCATTGTTATGTTTATAGCATTTATCAGAGTCTCCAGAAGTAGGTATCTCTCTTATTTTGATTGACAGAACATTGGATCTTTGTACACCTACTAGTAATAATACAGAATCTTTTCTCACAAAAATATTACGAACATTTCCTCGTTTACCAAATCATGATAATGATGTAGCTATTAACATATCACCTATGTTTGGAACAACGGTAAGTAAGCATACATAAGTATTTATCTATATAGCTATTGTTATTAATTTATTTATTTTATGTTTACTTTTCTATGGACTTTAAGAATATTTTAGAATCATATGAAATACCTGGATGTTTAGCAAGCATAGAAAATATTATGATGGATCTTTTTATTTCACAAAAAGAAAAAAAATTGTTAGGTACAGCCAATCAATTTTTAAGTGATATAGCTCTAACAACAGATAACTCTAAGTTGAGAACACCATCAAGAGTTTCTGGTCATAGTTTAGAAAAATTTCTTAGTAAAATTCAATCTACAAACAGTATTGCTTCTTTAGCAATTCACATAGAAAAACTTCAGGTGACTTATTTGGTTTTTAATTTCTTTATATATTTAATGTATTTTAGGAAGTTTTTTAATTTTTGAATGTAGTGTATTTTAGCAATAATTGAAGCATCTACATCACAAAAAGCTAGTCAGCTTGAATTACTTACTAGTTTAGAAAAATTAGCTTTACAAAATCTTTCAGTAAGTCGAGAATCTTCAAGTATACTTATACAGGTAATCATTTTCTCAATTTTAATTTTTATCTATATGATACATATATATGATATATATCTAAATCAAATAATTTTTTAGTTAAGTAATATTATACGTACACGAATTCACAGAGGACTTGATATTGATAATTTATTAGCGTTACTAATTTACATTTATGCTCTTGCGGGAACGCAGATACAATTTTCTGCACAACAAGAACATCAATTAGAAGAATCAATTGCGAATGCGATCTTTGAAGATCTACAAATTTTAAAAAAAAATCCATTGATTAATACAAAATCGGCATATCAGCGTACTTTATTACTGTTAGGTAGGTTATTCGTTTTTTTTTAAATAATGTAATAAATTATTAATAATATTTGTGAATATTAGGAGCGGATGATGTTACTGTAGCACAAGAAACATCATGTAGGATTGCAGCGCGTTTTATCAATATTCTTCGATTAGTCGCGGAACAACGTTTAATATTACAAGATTATAGGTGAAAACTTTTTTGTTTTTTAATTTTTATCTTTATATAGTTATAAATTATTCATTCTATTTTCTTTCTTAATCATTTTTTTTTTCAAAAATAATTTTATTTATAATCATTTGTAGATTTTGTATGTTGAAACCAAGTTCTCAAGAAGTAATTCGACATATTAGTATTTTAGAACAAATTATTAAGGATATATTTGATGTAGATGTAAATCGAGAATTACGGGATCTCCATAAAAAATCATCTTCATTTATTCAAGCTAGTTTTAAGTAAATATTTTTTTCTTTCTTAACATATCATATAATTTTAAAAACTTTTAAAGTAAATAATAGTAAAATCTTTAAAACTTTTTTATAAATCTTTCTTGCATTGCAGTTTATTTTTAAGAGGTAAAACAAAACATCATCCTCGAGATAATTCTTATATTTTAATATACATTGTTGGAGGAATTACTGCAGAAGAAGCAAAAATAATTCAAGAAATAGTATCTGTACAAGAAAAACATAACAACAAAAAAACACCATTTGTCATTCTAGCAGGATCTAGATTGTTAAATCCTTTGGATATAGTGGAAAAAATATTTTTTTAATTATTAATTTTTTTTAAATCTATAAATATAATAGAATTTATTTTCTTTCTCTATTTATTTTCCATTTTATACCATTAGATAATATAGAATAATGTATTTTTTTAATAATTTGCGATGTTTCTAATGTACATATAAAATTTTTTGAATTACTTATTCTAGATAAATATATTTTATAATCTATGTTATTTGTTAATTTATTTCTTTTTTTACATATTTTTTCATTCAATTTAGTATATATTGTTGCAATATTAAATTGAGTTGTATGTATTTTAATAACTTTTAATAAATTTTTTATATAAGTATCAATTGTGATAATATTGTCTTCACAATCTTGCCAATAATATGCTGTTATACTATCAATAGCTAAAAGTGCAATTTTAGTATTATCAAGAAATATGTCATCTAATGTACGTAATGTTAGAGAAAATTGCTCACTATTATAACAATTTATAATATGCAAGTTGTGTAAAGAATTTTTAATAATAGTTGTTTTATCAAAATCTATTTCCATTGCTTCAGATGCAAATGACATAGCATCATTTATAATACCACTCATTAATTCAATTAATTTTGAAATTTGAAAATGATGATCAGTATTTATCAAAATAGCTGAAGCATTACATCCTTTAATTTGATAATAATTTGGTAAAATACATTTTGCAAGTATTTGAGATAAAAGAAGACTTTTTCCAGATGATTGTTCTCCATTAATTTCTATAATATCTGTATTTCGAGGACCCTCGAGAAATAACGTATTTTCAATTCCACATAAACTTGGTTTATTATTTAATCTTGCGAGCAATTCTGCTCCGGATTCTATTTGAGATCGCATAGATTTTTTTTATATTTTAATTTGTTTTTATATTTCATTAATTTTAATCACTATTTAGATTTTTCTTATGATTTTTCATAAACATAAATATTATATACGTAAATATACATATTGGATATCAATATAGTTGGCATAATGAATTATATAAATTAGAACTACCTAAAAAGTAAGGTTAATGTTTTTCTCGTAAGACTAAAGCCCGTATCACAATTTTTTAGTTAATAGGATAGACACGAATTATAATTGTAACTAATGTCACACGATGGCAGTGTATGCTGTATTTCGCGTTTATATTTCATGAACTTAATATAGGACATCGAATATTATAAAAGTAACAATTTTATTGTTTTTTATTTTTATCATATGTGTATGTATACATATGTGTGGATGTTAAAAAGCTTTCCATGAATGAAAAAATGCTTTATTTATGAAAATATAAATAAAAAACATTCAAAAATTAAAAACAGAGAACTATATAGAAAACTAACAAAATTGAAATTCAAAAATTTCATAAATAATAGATAAATTCTACTATAGATATATATAATAATAAATAAATTTAACACTTGATAAAGTAATGGTTAATAAAAAATTATTTTTTAATCACATGTGTATTAGTGATTTTAAGAAAATGTAAATGTGTCCTTAGTAAGTTTTGGTTATATTATGAATTTAAAATACAATTTATTTTTATTTAATTATTTTATTAAATTATTTTTATAATTATTTTAAATAGAATTTGAAAAAATTTATTTTTTCAACAAAGAAACATTTTCTTTTAAATTTTTATTTAAGGATTAAATAATATATATGTTGTAATATATATATATATAAAATTATTAAAACTTTTTTATTCATTATAATTTTTGTTTAGGTACATGATTTAATTTCTATCTCATAAGTCAATATATTTGTTAAAACTTTTCTGAAAATGGTGCCACTTGGACCATCACCAGGGCATCAAACATCTGTTAATAACACTGCAACTGCTCCAACCACTGGTACTAAAAGCAGTTCAACATTAGTAAGTTAATTTTATATTTTAATATTTTGGACTTTTTTTATTATTTTTTTTTTCTCATTTTATTTTTGAATAATCTCAAAAATCTGTTTTCTGATTTTTGTAGAAACCAAATTATACATTAAAGTATACCTTAGCAGGACATACTAAAGCAGTTTCTTCCGTAAAGTTTAGTCCCAATGGAGAATGGCTTGCTAGTTCTTGTAAATATAAATATATATTTTAAAAACAATATAACATCAAATCAAATATTTAATTTATCATTAATTTAAGTAATAAGTATTAATTTTATGATTGCTGTATCTATTTGAATTTAATTTCTTATTTGTAGCTGCAGATAAATTAATTAAAATATGGGGATCCTATGATGGGAAATTTGAGAAAACTATATCTGGTCATAAGCTTGGTATTTCAGATGTTGCATGGTCTAGTGATAGTAGATTGTTAGTATCTGCTTCTGATGATAAAACTTTAAAAATATGGGAATTAAGTTCTGTAAGTTTGAATATAAAAAAATATTTAAAAATATTTATATTTAAATTTAGTTTTATATTATATATTTATATATTATATACTTATATTTA